GTTAACCTCTTATATATGTTTTTTTGACCTCATGCAAGCAAACAAACAAACAAGAAAACAAACGCATTTTATTTCGTATGACCCTCCTTTCAGTCGAGGGAAAAATAAAAAAATACAAACTTCTTTCATAACACGATCTTTGATTATTTGAGATAATTTTCCATCGAAATGTTTTCCAGTTGATGATGGATTTTCAACTTCTTCTAAAATATATTGTGCACCAATATTTGATGTTAATACAATTATTGTATTTGTAAAATCAACTGTTCGACCTTTTCCATCCTAAAACAAATTTTTCAATAGAAAATTTATCATTTATAATAATAGAGAACTTACAGTAAGTCGACCATCATCTAAAACTTGTAATAAAGTATTCCAAATTTGTGGATGTGCTTTTTTAACTTCATCAAATAAAATAACAGCATAAGGTTGTCGTCGAATAGCTTCTGTTAATTGACCATCTTGTTCAAAACCAACATAACCCAATAAAGAAAATTATTTAAATAAATAAAAAAAAAAAAAAAACAAAAAGAGAGAAATCTACCTGGTGGTACACCAATTAATCGAGCTATTGAATGAGGGTATATTCAGAATAAACAAGAAAGGTCTTCGAGACGATCAGGACGAAATGAAGTGATGAAATAAAAGCAAAAAAAGATTGCGTCTTAAGATCAAGGAAGAAAAAGAAAATATGAAACGATTGAGTAAAGAGGAATGTCGTCTGAGAACTAATCGTAGATGCATGACCAAAAGACTTGTCTAACAAACTAATGATGAATATAGCATTTGATTTCGACGAAATCGTGAATGTAGTATCAATAGTCGTTCGAAGAGTTATAACAATAAATGGATAATAAACAGTGAAGCATAAGAAAATCGAATAGAAGGATGGTCACTTTTCAAGAAGGCTGGTCTCAGATTAAAAAAAAAAGGTTTGAAATTGAAAATACATTTCAGAGAATTCCTTGCTTAGACAAATGTCATCCTAACATCGATGATTGTTTATCTAAGAATGATCAAAGACAGATCAAACGTATAAAAATTGAAAAAGAAAGAAAATCAATCACATCGATGTATGATAAAATAAATGCATGTTCGGACAAAGTTCGAATCAGAGATGGTCACAGTTCTGTTTAGTTCACGAATCGAGCCGATCAATTGAGTTCACAACTATTCAGACCGATTTGAGCTTCTGTTCGCTTCGTTTCTTAGAAAAATTTTGGCAATTAAGATCGCTGTAAAGACATTTAGAGTAAGAACAAGAAAGAAAATGATATAAACAACAATGAATCTATTTATACAATTCTGTTTCTGCATCCTAGTTGATTATAAGAAGAAAAAAAATCGAAAATAAGCTAGTAATAATTATACTTCAGTAAAAACATTAACGTATTTCAATAATAATCCAGTATATCTAGTGACAGACTTCAGGTTTTTATTATATAAGACGATTCGATAGAGATGAGGATCATCATCATCATCATGAAGTGACTCGAAGTTCTTTGAAAGGTAGGTAGTAAGAGCTGATTTTTTTAGTTTTTTTTTCTACGAGAAAACAGGGATGTTGTTTCTTGATATTGAGAAATTGCCACAAACGCCTTCCTAAATATGCTATTGAATACATCAAACTCATGAGTTGTCTAATTCGAGTTCGAATATAAGCTAGTCACTAGTTGAAACAGTCGCTTTAAAAATAAATTAAAAACAAACCTCGAGCCAGCAGAGAACTGCGTTCAAAGCCAAAGATAAAACTAAATAATTTGAATTACTGGGTGTGGCTAAAGTTTTGCAACATTTGGTGTTTTTCATATATCTCAGTTCAGACAAAAGATAAAATCTTGAATTTAATTTTGGAAGATGTGCTATTCAATTCTCTACAAAAGTGTATTTACCTTAATTTGAAATAATACAACTGAAAGTTTTTATAAGTCAAATAGTGTGCTTATATGAATTGCATCTATGTCCCACACATTTTTTTACTAAACTTTTTCTGAGTTTCTGCTGTTATAAACAGGTGTCTAAGAAACTAATTATTAACAATACGATCACATATCAATGCTCTTTCAGAATAAGTTGTCGGCGTTCGATTACAATTTGTTTGAGCCTAATAAAAGTGGTCTGTTTGATATGCTACTATAAAAACAGTGTTCTTGGCGATGTTTAGATTCTTATTCTAATCGAATCGTTTTGTCAAATGTTTTTTGAGCTTTCAGTAGAAAGAGATGGTTCTTTTTCTTCAAAATACTGCAAAATTGAACTCGATTTGGCCATATATCACATTCTGAAGAGATTTTTTTGGAAATGAGTAATTGAGAGAGAGAATTTTACGATTTTCAAAATATTACTTCGCGAAAAATTCTATCTAATGAAAAGAATGAATGTTAAACATATAAGCAATCGTCCGAAGTTTTCAAGAGCTATCTGGCAGTCTGTTATTTCTACAAGAAAAATATTCGTTCTTACAGAAAAAAATAATTTATTAAAAAATCGGGTGGGACATAGATGCAATTCATATAAGCACACTATTTGACTTATAAAAATTTTCAGTTGTATTATTTCAAATTAAGGTAAATACACTTTTGTAGAGAATTGAATAGTACATCTTCCAAAATTAAATTCAAGATTTTATCTTTTGTCTGAACTGAGATATTTGAAAAACATCAAATGTTGCAAAACTTTAGCCCCACCCGGTATATTTTATAATTCACATATTGTCATCTTGTTAAGATCGTCCAAAAGTCAGAGATAAATTTTACTGTGGCTCAGTTATAACTCCGGCAGGAAAAATGCCGTGAGTGAAGTTAAATAGATTAGAGATCAAATTTGATTTGAATTTCAATTTTGATAAACATAATCCATGAGTTAGTACAGGATTTAGATATCTTTTATTCAAGCTACAGCTCTATTGGTGCTCCCTTCAATGGATTCACATGTGGAAATAGAGCATTGGACTAGGACAAAACCTTCAGCCGCATAACTGTCTGTTTATTTCTGTGTCAGTGTGGGACGCGAAGTATCCCCTGAAATAGCCGCGATACATGTGCGTCTTTGTATAAGAAGAACATTCGTTTGAAAATATATAATGCCTCACATAATTTTCCAGAAAACTATACGACTTGCTCCAGACGTAATCCAGCAATAAAAAAAAATTTCTCATTAATCAATACAGTTTTCATCTATAAAACATAGTTTTATCCAAAGAAGGATGCAAGCGAGATTTCTGCACGCTCGTGCCACAAAAAAAGGTCTTACCATATCTCTCTCCATGAGGATTACCTGACCAATTTCATTTCACATCTGCCTCGATTCCTATGATTTTTAGAATGCCAACTATGCCGATTACTTTCACTATTTCCTGCTTCAAAATCACCTGAAAAAATAAAAAACGTTTTCTGAACACTGATATGTAGAAGGCATCAAATTATGTAAATCATATTCTAAAATATTTTATGCAAATTTTATCATTTCCTTGTTTGTTCTGTTCCTTTTGAAACAATGAAAATTTCCTGTTTTCTCGTTTGAATTAAGGATCTACTGATTGTGCAAAAATTAGGCTAGCTTGAATTATATTTTATAACTTAGAGAAATTTATCCTAGGCTTTGTGTATCTTCATGCTTAGAAATGTTTTGAAATTTCGACTTATTTTTGAACTCAAATTAGATCGCTTGTCATCGAATTCAATAGAAAATAAATATTTCTTTCTTATCAAATATACACAGTGCTATTTAATTTGCTTCTTGATGACAATCAATCATAAAAAGACGAAGAAATAAAATTACAGGTCACATCACTTTAGTTATATATGGTGAACCAAAAAGATTTTTTAATTCAGTTCGACCTTAGTCGAATTTCTCTCGGTTTCGGTTCAGTTTAAAATTTAAAAAGCCAAGCCGTTCTCATCTCTGCTTCGAACACGTATACAGATAATTTCTCATGAAAATAGGAAAAACATGTTGATATGTATCAATCAAATGTAGAACATCTGAAAAAGATATCAGAACCTTAGATAGATTCATAAAAGGGACTCGGTCTATCATTGGATAAACGCTATTTGTTTCTAAAAAAAAGAAGAAAAAATAAAGTATAATTACACAAGTATTATGAGAAAAGAACAGGAAATAAAAGTTTTTTAAAATGAATTGTCTATTATATTGTTTAATTCAAGCATAAGAAAAGATGTAGGATTGAATGAATTAATATTTTTTAATCTTTTGATGGTTTCATTCGTTTTGACGATGATTCACATAAACTTTTATTATCTTCATAATCATTAGATAAATCATCATATTCTTTTTCATCATCAGTTTCGATCATTGATTCTGTATCTGATTCTTCGTGAGTATGACAACCTTTCAATAGAAATATTATAAATAGTTTGATACGATTGTTGATTCACTTACGATTATGTATTGATTTTGTTGATAAAATTGAACTTGTTGTTGCTGATTGTTGAATGTAGAAATAATATGGATCATTTACACCAATATCAATAATGACATGGGAATATGGTACAAGAATCATTTCCATCAATAATTTCGAAAGTTCTCTTGTTATATGTCTTTTAAAATAACGTTTTAACGAATGAACACTACAAACTATTTTAACAAACATGAAAACCAAATCGAATCAATTGTATTTTAAATTTTATCAAAATATAATAGTCGAAAGTAGATTATTTAGTAATAATAACATATTTAGAAATAAAAACAATTAGAATCTATAAAAGTAGCTTCAAGAAATATATTATTCTGCCCGTTTATGAGTCTATCTAAGACACTTGAAGATATAAATGTAGATTTTTTTAAAGAAAACCGATTATAATCAATTGCGGATATCATGCATAGATTTGTGTGTTATAGAAACACATATTGATAAAATATCACTTTTTTGTTCTTTTCCTATAGAAATACGAATAATTAACATTGACGAAAATTCATTAATAGTATCATTTTCCTATGATCATAAAATACTTAGTATCAATTATATATTTGTAGGATATTTCATTTATTTCAATTTGTCAATCTTTAAGATTTTATCGAAACAATCTAAAAGAACTATTTGTAAGAAAAATTCGATAAAGATTTAGGATAAATGGTCGGTTTTTAGTAAGGCAATATACGTATAGAGATATCTGTTTCCACTTCAGAAATAGCAGAAATTTCGAATTCAGATCAGAAGCGGTAACAATAATCGGAACCAATCTGTAATGTTAACGACTAGATGTGAGAGTGTGTGGGAGTAAGGTTTTTTTATTTCTATCCTAAAGACTTATTTTTCAGTGGTTCCAATATGCTGTTGTTAAATCGTCTCTAGTATCGATTTTGATTCCAGTGATAATCTTGGCTCAGTTTGTAGAAAATAATAGCAGAATTTATTTTCATAAAGTCTAAAACAACTCTTAAATATTCATTTATTGATTTATTCAATTGACAAAGAGCAGTTTGTTTTGATGATCTCTCCGAATCCTCTTTTTGATTGCTACAATTTCTATAGTGTGTTCCGAAATTTTCTTCGTATACCTTTTACTATTTGATTCAACTTAATAAACTTATTTTTTTAAATGAGATATACATATACCGAATTTTTATTTATACGAATAAACTTTAATATACTTCAAAGATATCATCTTTAATCAAAATTCAAACACTCAACCTTTTTCTATATGTAGAAAAACATAATATAACGATTATTTTTGTAATTACTTTGATTTTTCGGATCATTCTGATCTTTAATTTGTTCAGATCTTTAATAGTCATATTATAGACATTATTTTTTGTAAATCTTCATACAAAGACATTCAATGATATTAAATCTAGTAACCGTGGAGCTGATCAGATTGGAACACCTCTTCTAAATGAAATCCCTGATCATCAAAGTTATCAATCAGTGAGAAACGAACTGTTTTCGAGCAAAATGTTGATGTACTATGTTGTTGAAAAATCATTTTTTTAGTAATTATTTTTTCTTGTAAAGCTGAATAAGAGAAGCTTTGGAGTACGTCAAGCTAATTTTTATTGATCCAGCGTTGGATCACCAAGATAACGATCAAAAAACTAATTTGTTTGACATTAAACATCTATAACGTAAAATTTTGCCGACTCCACCGTAGATTTTCAGCGGCATATAATTCCTTTGTAGTCCAGGTACGATAGTTCTCCTTATCAATCAATGTAAAAGTCAAATGTGCGAATAAAATTCAAGAAATGAAGCAATTAAAAAGGAATCATTGTGTGATGTTCTTCTACATATCGAGAAAAGGTTAAATTTTGCATTTTGATTAGAGAGGATATATCTTTGAAGGATGACTTTGAAGTTTGCTTGTATAAATAAAAACTCAGTATACACAACTATCATTTAAAAAAATTATTGACTAAGTTGAATCAACTAGTAAAGACATATGAGAAAACTTTGAGATACACTGTAAAATAATTTGCTGAAAAATCATGGAAAATTTAACTATAATTTGTGTTTTCAATTAAATTAACTTTTTTTTTGCAATTTTGATTTTACCCTTCATATTATCACTTTTTCGTAGAATTGAATCCGATTTCAACAGCTCTTTTTTTTTCAAAACTCCTACTCTGATTGAACTTTGATAAATCCTCAAATTTTAATCGTACATATTTCTAGTCAGATAAGAATATTCTTTCTTCTCTACGAGAATACAGACAATAATCTATTAGTCAGTTTCTATATAACGATAAATAATGACTTTAGTGGTTCTAATTTATGTTTAATATGAAAACAGATATACTGATATCTTCATTTTCTTCTATATTTAAAATGAATATGTTAGATGAAATCTTTAAATATAAATCTCGAATTTTTGTTTTAATTTCATAGAAAATAAATTTTTATTGAACATTTATATATTATCACTTTTATGAATATATAGTTTTTCAATTAGTAAAACAATTAAGATAATCAAAGACCTCTTCTAACAGAAAAATAATAAAAATCTCTATAAAAAAAGAATTACCTGGATTATAAGATTTATTAAGAATTAATATAATAGTTTTATCTGTTAAATCAATCATAATATTTTGCTGTTGTAAATCTTCTTTAAGTAATTTTAATTGAAGATGAATAATAGAAGAAAGATAATTGATATTAGCAGGTTTAAAGATGATAATATTATCCAAAATATTTAAAAATTCTGCTTGGAAATATGAACGAACCTTTAAAATAAAATTTAAATCTTATTATTTAATCAAATTAAAAGACAATGATACGAACTTCTTTCATTATATTATCTTTTGTTGTTTGAGATAAGTTTTCATCAGAAACTTTTCTTGAAGAAGTTGGATTCTTAACTTCTTCTAAGATATATTGGGCACCAATATTTG